CGGGGCAGGGTAGATGCCCCCTGACTGCTTGGGCACACCGAGGGCTGCTGTTTTAGTTCCTGTGGCATTTTCATGCGGAGTTGCTTCTGTTTGGCCATCACTACACGACAAGGACTTCAGTGTGGATGATGTGTCAGGAATTGGGGTGGCTTAGAACAGGTTTTATCACTAACTCCTGTCTACCTGCTTCCTGAGTCAGCCTTTGGGGAGCTCTGTGCCAGGCAAGAAAATGCGGGGAATTGTCACAAATTCACAGCTTGCCTGTCCACAGCCATGGGAGCATAACTTAATAAATATTTATCCATGAAGCCTTTTTATGACACAAAAAAGTGCTGGAAACCTGATGTACTTTTCTAATCAGAGGTCTTCTGTAAAAATTGAAGCCTCATACAGAAGTGACTGGGGTAGAATGAGGCCCGGGGGGCCATGGACAAAACCGCTTTGTGTGGTGGGCAGGTGTTCTCGCCTGGATGTAGCTCCTTTGCCAGGCTCCCCCCTTCTTGGTTCTGTCGCTTCCTTCACATGAAGATGGCCTTCCTCTGTGAAGAGGCCCTGTCTCTAATCGGCAGGCATGGGCACCGTGTTAACACAGGCCATTTGGGAGCAAAAACTAGGTCTCTTGGAAAACGGAAGGGCTTGAGTTTCTTTAAAGAACAAAACAGTAAAATGTCCCCAAATAGCTCCATGGATGGTCATCTCTTCTAAAGTAAGTTCCAGCTGTTAAAAAATATAATAAAAGCTATAAAAGTAATGAAGACTTTTTAGTTTTTCATGTAATTAGATATAATTACCTATATTTAAAAATCTTGTATCAGGCAGCCTTGAAATTCAAAATTCAAAACAGCGAAGTTACGGAAGAACACATTTTTAAATATCCTCAGTAAACGTGGTGGTAACACCACAGGCCTGCCCCTGGTTTCCAGGGGGCGCCGTCTCCTAGCGGCCCAGGCTGCAGGCGGGAGCCTGGGAGGCCAGCTCCGACCTGGCCGCTTTCCGTCTCTACTGACCAGACCTGATACCAGTGGAAAGCACTCATTCTTCACGAGTTAGTGCAGATGCTCCCTTTTTCCTTCTGCATCAACAAGCTGAGTTATTGAGAGAATTTGCTGGGGAAACTTGTTTCTTCAATTAGCCAGTGTGTATACTGGCTGTTTTAAAAGTTTTGAACTATGGGAACTTAGAACCTGTTCAAAAGTAGAGAGTATAATGCAAAGAACCCTCACACACACACGTCTGTCCCGTCTCCTCCCAACTTGTCTTTTCTGGAGTAAAGAGCAAACCCTACATCATGTTATTTTACCTGTAAATAGTATGATTCCCTGATGGGTCAGGATTGTTAAAAGTACCATTGCCAGGCCGCCAGCACCCTCAGCTCTGAGAGAACAGCCACCTGATGGTTCTTCCTCACCGCCCCCATTGCTTCAGTGTCCTTCAGTGTTGACTCTTGCCTTTAGGGTCTGCTTCTGAACTTTTCACAGTGGAAAATCACACATGCATTCAAAAGCAGTGTAGCAGCCCTGGGGCCCACAGTGCTCTAGACTCCCAAGATTTACCCTGGCCTCTTCCCTGAGGACTCTGTGCAAATTGCAGACCTGACCCTTTCAGTCACATGTGTCCCATTAAACAACTACTTCTTTAAACATCTTTATTGAGGTATAATTTGCATATCGTTAGATTTAACCATTTAAAGTATACATGTCAGTGGCCTTATGTAGTCACAGAGTTCTGCAATTATCACTGTCTAAGTGTAAAAAAATTTTATCGTCCCCCAAAGAGACCCATACACCCCCATTTCCCTCCACACACCCACTTCCCTCCCAGTCCCTAGCACCCACTCATCCACTTTCTGTCTCTGTAGATGCACCTGTTTAGGACGTTTCACATATATGGAGTTAACACACTGCACTCCGTTGCCTTTAGTGTCTGGCTTATCTCACCCAGCATGATGCCTTCAGGGTTCGTTCATACTGTAGCATGTCAGCTCCCCACTGTTTTTTACTCCTAAATAACAGGCTGTGATGCTTGTAAAGACAGGTGTGGTCTTTTTATCCTTAAGCCCAAGTGGTAGATTTTGTTATTAACTTGGGCGGGGGGACAGGTGCCAGAGCTGCACAGGTGTGAGGGGTATTTGGCCCAAGGTCACATGCAACCCCCCCACCTCACTTTTGTCCCGTTATATTTTAGGGATTGGCTGTCTGTGTTTGGGCTCCTGTGTCTCCCCTCCCCAAGGGTGCAGAGTGAGCCTGCATCATGGAAGCCCCGGGCCAGTGTGAGGACTCGAGGTTCTACTCAGATTCAAGTGAAGACAGACCTCATGGCCTTAGAGAAGAGACAGGAGACAAACCCCCAAAGTCCTTTAATTTAGGGCTCTTTCCTAATAATATGGGCTCTGGGTAGTACCATCCTTTAAATTTTCAGATTCTAAGGTATGGCATTCTAATGGTGTTTGATGGAAATTATTTACTGCAAGAAAACCAAGTATTACATTTACTTTTCTCCAGAATATTTTTTGATTGGTCTGCTGTGGGTGTGGTGCTGTACTGGCTATGTGGGGCGGCGTGGTAGGGGATGAAAAGACTTTTATCCCCCAGGACAGCCTGGTGGACTTCGGGGCTCCAATGTCCCAGTCAGAGCACCCGAGGATGGGTCTCCCCTCTGCTCTTACCTGCACGCAGCACCTGAGGACAGGTCTCCCCTCTACCTTCACCTCCTGCTGCATTTAATGCTCATAAGCTCTGTGCCCTGGGGTCACAGACATGGGCTCTACTTAGTGGGATAACACAGTGCTGTAATCTTCTCTAAGTTTTTTGGCAAAGCATGCCAGATTTTAATACACTTTTCTCCTTTTGTTTTTCAGGTATTCATTTGGTAAGTGAAAATCATTTAGAAAAAAACTCTGCAAGAGTTAACATTTTGTGTTGGGGTATGTATCCTCGTGCCTTTTTTTCTGGCTTTCTCATTGCTTGAGCATCTGTCATCAGCCCGCAGGTTTCACCATGTTGTTCTGACACTGTGTTTATTATCTAACCTGGACTCCTACCCCTAGGCAGCCTCCTTGCCCAGAGTGGTGGACTAACACAGATGAGGGAACTCATGCATTTTCAGGTTCACTGCGTGTAGAACTGACTGTATTACTGGATAGAGTAGTCCCAGAGCAGTGACAGCAAGCAGTGATGGTTCCATCTCGTTATGGATCCATTCTTCAACCCTGGAGGAATGAAAAGGCCTATGACATGTGTGTTCCCCTTTCCAGGCAACACTGAGTCCCCAGTGGACATAAGCCCATAGACACCTTATGCAGAGGAGGGCTCCCCAAAGGTGGTTGGATTTTTGCCTGGTTTGGTAGGGCAAGGACTTTGGGTCGCCCCAGCCCATGGTCTGAGGGAAACGCTGCACCCAGAGTGAGCATGCAGAGTAAGGTTTTTGTTCACAGATGAATGGGTAAGTGGGACCGTGGCCACTGGCTAGGGGTAAGCAGAGAACAGCCCCCAAGTGGACAGGGCTGGGCACAGCACAGGTTACATTTGGGTCTCACCAGCTTACATACTATTACAACAAAGACATCAGTGCTCTCCAGAGGGTGTGACAGAACCCAGATATCCCTCAGCTCGACATTCTCATGTTCAGGACACAGCCCCCAACCACACAAGAAACAAAGGACCAGGACATCCGGCCCATTCTGGAGGAAATAGACAGGCAACAGAGGCCAACCCCAAGATGACTAGATGGTGGAATTTTCAGATGGTCTAAGCAGCTGCAGAGACTGCATACCAAGGTGAGGGAAACCAGGCTCCTGAGGAATGAAAAAAAATGAGCTTGCAGCAGAAAAATTGAAAATATAGAAAAGAGCTAAGTGGAAATTTTAGAACTGAAAAATGCAATATCTCAAATAAGAAATTCACTAGATGGGCTGGATAGTAGGGTGGAAATGACAGGAATGAAAGTAGATCAGTAGACATCACCCAGGCTGAGACCAGAGCCCCAGGAGGAGGGGAGGGGACAGAGAATGGCTGAAAAGTTTCCAAATGTAGTGGGACTCATAAATGTGCAGATTCAGGAAGACTGGTCAGCCTCAAACAGCATAAATAAAACTGCCTGCTCACATCATCTAAAATCAATACCGAAAACCAAAGGGGAAGGGAGAATTTTGAAAGCAGCCAGAGAAGCTTAACATGGCCCTTGAAATGGTTGGACTCTGGTACCCAGGAACAGTGGTGCTGAGAGATGGACACCATCCACCAGGATCCTGCACCCTGACAGTGCCCTCCAAGGATGAAGGTAAAAGGAGGAAAGTGAGAGAATTCACTGCTGGCAGATGAGCACTCCAGGAATGCCACAGGCAGCTCTCCAGGCTGAAGGAAAGTGACAGTAGGTAAGAACATGGGTCCCAGCACAGGATTGCAGAACACAGAAAACAGTAAATACACAGGTAAATGTGAAGATGGTTTTCCTTCCTTCCTTCAAAATACATAAAACTTTTTAAAGCAAAATGAATCCTTTGTCTTCTGACATTTGTAATGCACTCAGAAGGAAATACATGTGAGAAGCATGACATGGAGCATGGTGGAAGGTGCAGATGGATCTGTGTGGTTTCAGTGTCCACATTTTATGTGAAGCAGCATAGTATTTTAGTAGATTTAAAAACTAAGGCTGTGTATTGTAGTCCCCGGAGCATATACCAGGAAAATGTAGAGTAGCAGTAGAATGCCAATAGTCACATTAAAGGGGTGTTCTGAAAGTATATGAATGACCCAAAAAAGCAGGGAAGGAGGAACATAGGAATAAAAACTAAGGGTTTAATAGGAAAAAAAAATTAAGTGGTAAACCTAAATACCATATCAGTAATTACATTGTTAATGGACCAAACACTCCAGTTAAAAGACAGAAATAGAACAAATTAAAAAGAAAAAAGTAAGATGCAGTTATATTCTTCTAGAGGTAATGCACATTAAATATAGAAGCACAGAAAATTTGAAAGAAAATGATGGGAAAGATACACTGGAGATAGTAGTCAGAAGGTGAGTTCAGGATCGAGCATCACTGGAGATAAAGGATCATCAGGCAGGAAGACGTAACAGACATCAAAGCACATGAAATTTAAAAAGTGACAACTAAAGGTAGACAGAAAAGGAATTTCAACGTCCCCTTCCCTCAGTTGACAGTTCACTTTGGAAAATTGGTAAAAAGGGATGGACTCTGAACAGCACTGCCTAGCACCTGACTCTAATGGGTGTTTGTGAAAACACATGATCTGTTCACATGCACATGGTTTGTCCACCGGGAACACCGGCCATATGCTAGGCCATACACAAGGATTCCATTGAAAACGGATTAAATCATATAGAGGTTCTGCTTCCCTGAGAGACTGTCTCTCCCATCCTAACAGTGAGCTGGATATTGTGTGAAAGCCAACTTTTCTGTATTCCCTTAGTGTGCTGCGTTTGCAGAGCAGCTAAGGGATCAGAATTCCCATCTCCCCCTGAGGAGGGATGGACCTGTGACTGGCCTCACCTTCACCAGAGCAAAACAGGGAGAGGGTAAGGAGAAAGCCACCAACAAACTGACAAATTCTTAGGGGGACAGTTGTCACCAGACATGGGGTTCTTGCTTAATGTTATGGTCTGCAAGCCTCTATGAGGCTTGTGAGAAAGATTGGGGCAGATGGGGTGACCACATAGGGTCTTTTTGGTGGTGTGGTATGAGGTAGCTGGCCATCAAAACACCTACCTGCCCCCTGGACTCTCCTTTTATAAGAAGCAGAAGCCTCGAACCACTCAGAAGGGGACATCAGCCCTATGCACCAAGGTTCATGGGAGAAGGGGATCTGTGAGAGGGGCCCTAGATCATGTCTGATACAGAGCATGCTCTGCTACTGCTTTTCTACTGTTGGTGAGTGGCACTGGGGGAGAATCGAGAGGAATTCTGAGAAGGCCCCACCCCAAGACTGGAAGTGAGGCTAGACCAGGAGCCAAGAGTCCCTTCTCTCATATCTGCCCAGCACCCAAGGATAGGCAGCATCTTGGGAGAGACCAATCCTGCTGGTGCATAGATGCTGCTAGAAATGAGAAACCCCCAGGCCCCACACTGAACACAGCAGCTGACTGAAGCCCCTCCCTAGGAAACTGCAGCCTGTGGACACTGAGGGTCGTGAGGGAACAACAAACTGAAACCCAGCTCATTTTCTGGCTAGATTGTCCCACCCCCACCTCCACCCCTCCCAACTAACAGCCTCATTGTACATACTCATTCCTGGGTAATTATGTTCACCTCAGGAGCTACTGTTTTTCTACACACAATATTTGACATAATAAAAAATTATTAGACAAACACACACTGGGGAAAAAAATGGACTCACTGATAGTAGATTGTTGAGAGATGCAGCAATCAGTAGAGATGACCCAGATGTTGGGGCTCTCAGATAGGGTACCTTAAAAAAGAACTGTGAACATGTCAGAGGTTCTAGTGGAAAAGGTGGACAACCTGCAAGAGTAAATGAGCTGTCTCAGCAAACAGAGGGAAACTACAAATGAGCCAGATGGAAATGCGAGAAGTAAACAATAGTGTCTGATCTGGACTTCCTTTCATGGGTTTGCAGCAGAGCAGACACAGCTGAGGAAGAAAACAGCAGTGAACTTAAAGATATTAAAAATAAAACACAAATGGGAAAAGAAGAAAACACAGCACCTGAGGGGTGATGGACACTATCAAACAATTTAACGTAAAGGTAATTTAAGAGAGGAAAATTCAGAAAGAAAGGGCAGAAAAATATTTGAAGAAATAAAGGCCAAGAATTTTCCAAAATGAATGAGAGGCAAAATGCCACAGATTCAAGAATTTTAGAGGACACTAAGTAAGAATACCACATCCACACACATTTCTGGATATGTTATAGTAAAACTGTCAAAAATCAAAGAGAAAGAAAATCTTAATTGAAGCCAGAGGTGGGAAAGGCAGGTACAAAGGAACAAAAATAATAATTATAGCACACTAATTAGAAACTGTGCCAACCAGAGGACAAAGGAGTGACATCTTAAAGTGCCAGCAAGGAGGGAAACCCCACTGTCAACCCAGAATTCTATACCCAGCAAAACTGTCCTCAACAGTGACAGCAAAAACAAAGTCTTTGTCAGGTGGTCTGCACTGTCAGAAATTTTAAAGGAAGTTCTTCAAGCAAAGCATTGGAATTTGTTAAAATGAGGGAAAATACCAAAAAAATTTTTCTGATTTTTAATTACCTTAAAGGTAGGTAATAAAGCAAAAATTAAGTTTAAAATTTAAAGCAAAGCAATCAGATTGTCACAAGCCAGTGTCCCTCACCAACTCCTTAACTGCCCAAACTGAGCCATCCAGTGGCATGGCTGTGCTCAGAGTTGGGAGTTGCCAGGACCTTGTGATAGGTGGTGGTGACATTCTCTTCCCTGTTCTCAGGTTTGCACTTTTTTTTTTTTAAGCAAGGAAGAAGCAAGCAATGGAATTATTTCAGGAAATACTCTCTTCCCCGTTTGCAAACCTAGCATGACCTAATCGTAATCTGTTCTATAACCTGTGAGTTATGTGCACTTGTGTCAAAGGAAAGGAAACTTTCATAAGTTTGGCAGTGAGGTTAGACATGAGAAAGAGCTGGGCTGCCTGCACCTTCTAAATTAGGGTTTAGTTGATATCAAAATTATCCTCAAAGAAACTTGCCTTGTCCAACATTTAGATAAGCCCTCTTGTCTTAGTAAACATTTATTTGATATATCTGAAACTGCAACAGTGTTCTTTTTTCCCAGTTGCTATGACAGATGAAACTACTAGGCCCTAACTCCTGTATACGGTGGGAGAATTCCCTGTGCTTTGAATTCTCGGCAGTTCAGTGAATTGCAGTG